TTTTCTATATATATAGTGCATGAGTCCCAACACCCATAAAAAATTAGAATCCCAACTATACATGATGTCATTCATTTAATTAAAATCTAATTCAAAATTTAAAAATATACCTTATTAAATATTGATTGATACATTCAGAAACTAAAAACTTAATTTAAAATTTAGAAATCCATCTTATTAAATATGGATACATATATTTGAAAACCAATTATATTAAAATATATAATTAATTTCTAAATTTAAGTATTCACATTTAATAAGATGGATTTCTTAATTTTGAATTGGATTTTCATTAAATGAAATGAGGTCATTTAAAGTTGAGATGCCAATTTTCTTTGGAAATTGAGACTGATATGCATTTTTCTCCATATATATAGAAGATAATGCCTGTTAATCTTGACTCTTTAAAAAATTTAGAATTTCAACCTTAAATGACATGGTTTCATTTAATTAAAATTTAATTCAAAATTCATAAATTAATCTATCTTATGAAATATTGATACATGCATTTGAAAACCAAAAACTCAATTCAAAATTTAAAAATTCACTATATTAAATATTTGTATATGAAGTTAGAATCTGATTATATATTTTAATATAATTGGTTTTCAAATCCATATATTAACATTTAATATGATAAAGTTTTGAGTTTTAAATTGAACTTTAATTAAATGAAACAACTCATTAAAACTTCAATTTTTTAAGAAGTTAAAACTGATATATATTATTAACATATAGATATATTCCAAAGAAAATTAAATAAGTTGGTTTACTTGAGATATGTTATTGATTTTTAAAGTTTTTATATTATGAAAATTTATACTATATTTTAATATATCTTAGATATATGAAGCATAAATTCTGTATATTACTTAACATCTATAATTTTATGGAACAAATTAATGCAGTCAGTGGAAGCCTTTGCTTCATGGCCGTACAAAGAACAAAAAAATAATACCGGAGAAACTCCATTCCAAGTGTTCGCTAGAGAACACAAGGATTTATTAAAGGAAGCTGAAGAATGGATGAAGAAAACGGCAGAATCTTCTACGGTCGTAGGTGCACTCATCATAACTATTATGTTTGCCGCGGCTTTTACTGTTCCTGGCGGGAATGATCAAAATACTGGCTTTCCCATATTTTTGAACTCAACGGAAGAATCTTCTCCACTGGTACCTTACACGGTATTTATGGTATCAGATGCAATTTCTCTTTTTACTGCAGCTGGTTCAGTGTTGATGTTTTTGGGGATCCTCACTTCACGTTATGCTTATCAAGATTTTCGAATATCCTTACCCCTTAAGTTGATTGTTGGTTTGTGTTCACTCTTCGTCTCCATTGCAACAATGGCAGTGGCATTTTGTGCTTCTCTTTTTATTATGTTAAAAGGTCGACTGGTGTTCTTCATTCTAATAACTGTGCTTGCTGGCATTGCTTGTGTCATTCTCTTTATGTTGGTGCAGTTTCAACTTGTTTTTGAGATTTATTCTTCGACCTGTAGATCACACATCTTCGGTGCGTCCTTTGCAAGTATACTAGGAAAATATGTCAAGTCGCGGTTATTTATAAGTAGACTGTTCATAAGAAGGCCGAGAGATAATTAGTTAAGGTTATGTATATATATGTTTTTTATTTTGCCATAACTCAAGTGGTTTGGAGGATTGTAATATTCTATACATGTTGTAGTTACAATGAATATCTGGTCGATGCACATTGTTTCCGTACTTTATAATTCTGTGTCAAATTCTTCTTTGCTAATATTGTGTTTTCATTGCTGATTCATTCTTCCACACCAAGCTACAAATTTATGAAATTTTTGT